AATTTTGCTTAAAGGGAATCCATTTCACCTCAGTTGAAGAGGTTCAGGCAAAAACGGAGAATCGTCCGAAAGGACTTCCAAAAACCTCGTTCCAGAATTGTTACCAGCAATAGCAGCGCCGAATGCATAAGTGTGTGAATGCTGAAGGGGACTACTTTGAAGGTGATAATGTCACGGAGAACTGATTCTGCAGGTACAATGATTTAGTGGACTAGTCTCGTTACTTTTGTGTCACACCTCGTATGTCCTGTTTTACCTCATTTATGAAATATAGCAAATTTTCTATTGTAACAAGTTTTCTGGTAAATAAAACTAGTACTACTACCATAAATGTATAAATTAATTTTATACTGCATTGTGTAACATTAAACGAATTATTCTAATTTAGAAGTTGTTAACATACGTTAAATATACAAAACATGGAGATTCTGTTATGTGGTCTGCTCATTTCCTGAATTTAAATTTGTTGCATTTTAGTTTATGAGAATGTTTGGATATACACATCTATTAAAAATGTGAAGTCCTGCATCACAGAACTGTGCAGTTTTTAAAAACTTCAAGTAACACCTGGAAAGATTCAAACAATAACAATATTTTTCATAAGATATCTACAAACATGCTTTGAAATATAAATAGCTATTTTGCAGATCTCTTGTAAATGTAATCAGATACCGAACAATACAACTCAAAATTTACTACACTTCACAAATAAGTTAAATACATTTGTATAAATGAACTGCTTTCAATTACTAATTCAATGCTTGAAGTAGATCCCACAATATTATAAGACAAATTATATAATAAATGAAAATACACAAAAACAAAAATTGAATCATCAATCTTACATTTGATAAGTTCAAGAGCTTCTTCTTTTGATCTTGTAATATTTTCTTCCCGCCAAGAAGATGGTCGACGAGAACCTGAATGTTTTACTAATAAATGTGAACATTGAACTTCTTCTGGGCCATCTTCTTTATTAGTTCCAGATGGATCTGCAGGTTTGTCTGGTCGATCCCATTGACTTTCTTTAGTATAAATATTTAAATAATAGTGTTGTCCTGTAAAAAATATTTAATAACCAGATATTCATCTCCAATCTAAACTACCAAATTTATTACATAAAATATAAAATACTTTAAAATACAATAAACAATTTTATTGCTTCATTAATTTTACAAGAGAAAATTTAATAACTTCAATAACTGGAAAATGTTTTACTGCATTTCGACATCCTCGACTCATAATTTACAGTATATCTAACGCGATATTAGTTTAATATATTTGTATAAAATTAAAAAAAGATGGTTTAGAATAAAAATTTAATAAAATATTATAATTCCTTTGTAATTAGACATAAAATAATACAATTTTTCGAAAACAGAATCAATTACACAAAAGGATGCCGGCCCTATATTCAAAATTACTAATTATATAGAGAACAACGTGATTCACCTAAAAAAATAATAATAACGAAAATCATTATATGAAAATATTTCTAAATTATCACATAATTATAAAAAAATAAATCGTTATACCGGTAGATCTGCTTAAACGTTTTTCCCAACCCGATGGTAATTCTTCGTCCGCCATTGTTATCCAATATTTTTCTACTCTCGTCTCACGTCAAATGCAGCAAACACGTTTTCACTGCATTTAGTTATGAACTAGATCTCGAAACTTCCAGTATAAGTAACTTATTAAAATTACTACATCACCTTTTAAGCGAAAAACTTACTAAATGTAATAAAATATATAATTATATACATTGCGTATATCGTAATTAATATCACCATAAATACTTTTAATAAAATGAGTTAATATATCTTAATAAAAAAGAAAATAATAGAACAAAGAAATACATGATCACCTATTCATTTTTATAATTAATATTATAGAAGATAAAAGAGGATGGAATTTGGGAGTAAAAGTTGTTTTTCCAATTTTGGCTCAGACCATTATCTATCGCATAACTAACAATTAAAGTTAGCCAATCGGCGTGCGGCCAGAACACACAGGAGTGTAGATGGAGTATATGCCTTGAGACCCCTGGCGTTTATCGTCTTAATTAAAATATTTTGATTTTTCATATTAATTAACAAATAAGTCAATAAACTAATAAACAGATAAGAATAAAGAACAAATGTGACTAACTAATTTTCTGAACATTTATTCGTACTTATTTATTTACATATTTATTGTTTATTCATTCAGTTACCGACTAAAATGAAAAATTAAAATAAAATAAGAGCTATTGTAGGAAGAGGAACCTCCCATTACTTTGCCTTCAAGAAATAAAACACGTAATTTTAACAAATTTGATATAAATCCGTAATTTTTTAAGATCCTAAATTTTCCAACTTTCAAAATCTCTAAATCCTCAAGCCTCAAAATTCTCAAATTTACAAATTCCTAAATTTCTGAATTTTCACATTTCTATATTTAAGAATTTGTGAATCAAATATTAACACATCATGATGTTTTTATCTTTACATCGTTACTTCCTCTAAAAAAGATTATTGTGTTCGCTACTACATAAACGGCAGGCACAACAGGCCCTATGGTATGCTCGGCCCTGCGTACTACGAACGCGTACCGTCTTATCGTCAACTTCGTTAGTAACTCAATAAATTAATTTCATATGTAATATTAAAATAAAAATTGCTGCTTTGAAATTCCACCCTCTTTCACCCTTAGAAGTATTAATTAGTATAACAGAAGCTATAAGAACAGTATAACATGAGAACTAAGGTTGCTATGTTTAATGTTATTATGGGCGACCATCGTTACTATGACGCCAAAATACACATATTTCTTTACGCGTATTAAAACTTTATGATATATACCTACTTATTTTTCAAAGAATTGTATTGAAAAGGCATAAAGTCTAAATATGGCTATAAATAATAATATTGACGAAGTTTTGACTGCGTTAGGATGGCAAGATGGATTTCGAATACCGGTAGCAAACGAAGAGAACAGACAATTAGAAGAAGAAGTAATGCACTTCATTCATATTCTGCTAGTTTCATTCATTTTACACACAACAATTATTTACGTTGAATACTGCTTTTTTTTTTATTTTTAACATAGTAATTTTTTGCACAGTAGTATGCGTAAATGTTATGTAAAAATTAAACTTGCACACATTATAATAGTTTATAACAGAATTTTACAATAACATACAAGATAATTATTGTTACTGTTATTATAATCCTTAATAATTATTTTCATTAATTAAAAAATTTTGTTACTAAAAGATTGAAAGAAAAATGAAATTGAAACAAAATTTGACCGCAAAACTCGAATCTACGGAGGAACGAATTAAAATGATGAAAAAACGTATCAATAATTTAATGATAGAACAAGATATGAATCAAAATATTATAAATACTCATTCTGCACAACTTGAAAGTGAAAATCATTATTACCGACTGAGTTGTAGCACGGAATCCAATCTTCGTCAAGAAGCGCGAGATTTTGAAAAAGAGTGGAAATCAGTGAATGAAATAGTATCAAATATTGAAAAAGAATTAGAAAGAATGACAAGAAAAATAGAAATTTCAAAAGAAACAATTAAATATGACGAAAAAGGTTTACGCGAATTGGAAGAAATGTTAAATCAAAACGAAGATAATAATCAATTAATAGAACAATATATAAAAGAAGATTTAAAGGAATATAAGGTAAATAAGCAACAAAATAAATCGAACTATAATGGTTTATATTAATAATCATGTTTTTATTCATTCAACTATTTTATAATTCAGGAACTAGAGTTAAAAAGGCAAAAACTTAGTAAAGAATTACAGTCATATCATAATACTATCATTAAAATAACTAATGAGGCACAAGAGATGGAAATTATTCTTAGTCGAACATCAACATTATATGATCAAACATTAGTAGAATATCAACAAATATTTAATCAATGGAGAGAGAGTGTAACCATGTTACAGCAAAGAAATAATGATATCAAAAATATTATACAAGTATTAAATTACTTTCTTATAATAAATATGTTACTATTAAAAAACATAAATTATGAAATTTATTTTAAATCTAATATATAAACTTTTTTTAAGAGTTACAAATGTTTTAAAATTAATATTTTATAAAATAATATTATGTAGGAAATTGAAACGTTACATGAAATTATGCAAGATAAAAAAAAAGTACTTGAGGAATCAGAACGATTTTTAAAGGAACAGAATGATAATAACAAACTAGTTGAAGAATCAATTAATAAATTGGAAAAAGATCTTTTTAAAATGAAAGACGAGCAACAAAAACTGAAAGAAACATTTAGTACATATGAAAATCAAGTAAGGATGTAGATTAAAAAGGAATAATGTCTCTGAGGACATTCATATAATTTACATTTTCAGGATTTCAATTTTGCTTGAATTTCAGTTAATTGTATACAATAATAGTGTGAAAAAACTAGCTCAACGTATGCAACAAATGCAAGCAGGCATAAAACATAAAGAAGTACAAATTCAAACAAAACATGCAAAACTGGAGAAATTAAATAAACAAGTATCTGATTTAACTACAAAATTACATGACATTGATAATCAAAAATTAGATATAGAAGAAAAAGCAAAGGAAGTCGAGGATATGATCACGGTATTCATTTACACTACTTTCATAGTAATTATAGTAATATATTTATAACATATAAAATAATACATAAAACTAATGTAGGAACAAGAAAAAAAAAAGTCTAAAATAATAAAAGAAATAAATCGATTGCAAACATCAAGTTTACGTGTAGTTCATCAAATAAAAGATTTAGAGAATGAGCATAAACTTCAGAAGATGCAGTATCAGAAAGAGTCTAAAAAATTCGAATATTTAGGTAAATTACATAGTAAGGATGAACAGGTACTAGAGGAAAAGAAAGAAGTATTGTATCAAGTGGAATTTGAATTACAAAAATCTGAGATGAAATTAGATAGATTAAAAGGTCTTGAATATGACAAGTCTGAAGTAGAAAGAAAACAACAAAAGATTGAAGAACTACAAAATACTTTAAATGAGAAAACGAAAATATTCAAGTTATTACAAAAACAAATTATAAGTTTAGAAGTAAGTTTTCTTTAAATACATAATTTCAAATAATTTCAAACATATTACGATTATTTGTATCTATAATAATAATGAACATACCTATTTTGTTGTATAGGATGACATGAGAAAAATATCAAATAATATGGCAAATGACAATACTGAATTGGAGTCTTTAAAAAATAAAAGGCAAGATCTTATTCTTTTCATGAATGCTGGAGAAAAAGAGCTAAAATCTGCTCAAAATCGTTATGAAGAGAAACAAGTAGAAGAAGGTATGTTACGGCTAAAGGTATCGCAAATGGAAAAGACAATATGTAATCTTGGAAACAATGTATATGATTTGGAAAGATACCAACTTGAATTAGAAGCTGTAAGTTTTTAATAAGATAATAGTAATCAATACAATAAGTATATTAATTGAATTTTATTATATAATACATTATATACAACTATTAAAATTTTTATTTAACCAGTATATTATAATTATTTAGGCAATACGAGAACGTAAAACAGAAATTGCAATACAGAAAGAATCACTTAACATTCAAAAAAGAGTTGCTAGTAATGAATGCTCAGAATTAAAATGTGCTATTGCAGAAAGAAAAATACGAATAAAACAATTGCAAGCAAGATATGATAACAGTGTAGCATTACTAGGAACTAATAGTGATGGTACGCCAGTAAATACTATCCACTTGAAAATTCAAAATGCACAAGAAAAATACCTTTTGCAAGAAGAAGGTGATAAATTAGATGAAACAATCAGGAAAACTGAACAAGAAATACAAGCTATGGAAAATACATTACGAATAATAAATACTTGTAATGACAAATATAAAGTTACTTTGAATGCAGATGAGGATAACAAATCTGAATTAGAAGAACGTAACAAATTACATAATGAACTTCAAAATGCAGAACAGAACTTGAAAGAAAAAAAAGAAGAATTGCAATCATTAACCAAAGATATGCAGGTATTTTATAATGTATTTAACATAATGATATTTTAAAAGTAAAAGGTATAATCATTTTTTAAATAACAATTTTTATAGAAATTACAAGAGGTCTATGCAAAAATTCTTAAAGATATAGATGAAGCTCAAGAACAAAAAGAAAATAAAAATCAATATCTAACTAATTTAAAACAACAAATTCAAGAACAAAAAGAAAAAATATCAAGAGCTGATAAAAATCTGCTAAATGTGAAAAAAAGTCTTCAACGAAAATGTATAAATACTGGGGACAATACAGTACTTATACAGGAGGTTTGTAACTTGTCTAAAATATTTTATGTACATAAAATGTATGACTGATAAACTTTTTGTAATTACATTTTACATTTATTAGAAGGAGGTGCAGCTACGTGAACTTCAAGAACAAAATTCAATTGTTTTGCAAGATATTGCAGAATTTACAGTTCATCACATAGAAACTGAAGCTTATATTAAAAAACTTTTAGCGGTTAAAAACATAGAATTACCATCAATTCCAATATTCAATCAATCACCACTATCAAGTCAATGTCATAGTAGCACAAATTCAATAGATTATGAGTCAAAAAGTACAAATCGTGGAAGCATTTGTGGGTCATCTAGAGAAAGTATTGGAAATATTGTCAATATAGAACCAGAATTTGAAAGTATGCTAATACATGTATTTATTATTTATTAAACAAATAAGTGCATATAGATAAATATAGTAATCTAAGTACTATATTGCCATATAAAAATTATAATTACTATTAAATCCTAAGTATCTTTATCGGTAATATATAATTTATTCACATGGTAATTATTTCAGCTGTTTCAGCAACAAGCTCGTCAAAAAAGTGTATAAAACACAGGCAACAACGTGTGAAAACTCCTTTGCAAACACAGTCAATAAAGAGGACTTTTTAATTTCATTTTTTTTTATACATTATATACCAATACATTTTTATTCGCTGTATTAAGCTGCACGAAATAAAATAAAAACCATATATTACAGTAACTAGTACTTAAATTTACGCATAATAAAGTGAAAATAATTGATATAAACACTACTTCTAATATTTATCAAAACTTTTTAATCACTGTAAGGTTACATATATTATCGTTATCAAAGAACTTAAAACATAAAATTGTGCGAGTTAATATTTGAAATAAAAAGAAAGAAAACACGTTATCATCACTTATACATACTATTTACGAATCATACAGTTATTCAGACTCTGTTATATGAAACGATACTAAACGTATAATTTCATACGATACAAGGTACGTTATGCAAAGTAAAATTTGTTCCTAATTAAATATATGTTTATATTTAATAATATTAACACAAAATTATTTCAACAATATTAATTACATATTTCTATTTAATAATACGAACTCAATCACAAATGTAAAAATATCGCATGATCTTAGTTTTGTGTTAAGAGCATCCATATAACCTTTTAGTGATAAAAAGTAACATTACAGTAAAATTGAGGATATGATTGAAAAGTAAAGATTAAATTATTTTATTATCAAAAAATAATTTCAGATGTCTACTGATATTACTGAAGTTTCTAGTAATAAAATCTTTGGCGGATGGCAAAAGGTCTATTCGCACGAGAGGTACGACAAGTTTATATTTATTAATTAGAAATAAAAAATTATTGTCACTAATTTTCATTTATTATATAGCCATGAACTGGGATGTAAAATGAATTTTGGAATTTTTCTTCCACCACAAGTGGAAGAAGGACCTGTCCCTGTTATCTATTGGTTATCTGGTTTAACATGTACAGAAGCAAATTTTGTTCAAAAAGCTGGTGCTCAAAAATATGCTTCTGAGCATGGAGTAGTTCTAGTTGCACCTGATACAAGTCCTCGTAATCTTAATATACCTGGAGAAGATGATGATTGGGATTTTGGAACTGGTGCTGGCTTTTATGTTGATGCAACAAAAGAACCATGGAATAAAAATTACAGAATGTATAGCTATGTGGCCAAAGAATTACCAGCTCTGATTAATGCAAAATTTCCAGTTTTACCAAACAAACAATCTATAATGGGACATAGGTAAAATAGAACAAAATAATTTAATATGTGTATCAAATTATTTAATTACTATAAATATAAAAATATTTTTATTAACAGTATGGGTGGTCATGGAGCTTTAATATGTGCTTTAAAAAATCCTGGTTTATATAAAACTGTTTCTGCATTTGCACCTATAAGCAACCCAATTCAATGCCCATGGGGTAAAAAAGCCTTTTCTGGCTATTTGGGTGGTACAGATACTAATGTTGCATGGAAAGATTGGGATGCTACTGAATTGACTAAAAAGTATAATGGACCTCCTTTGGATATTTTAGTCGATCAGGTATATTATCACACATATATGTATTAAAAAAACTGACAATAAGTAAAATCTGTGTTATGTAATTTTAGGGAAAAGAAGATAAATTTTTAAAAGATGGACAACTATTACCAGAGAACTTGTTAACTGTTGCAACAGATGCTGGTTTATCACTGTTTCTTAGATTTCAAGAAGGCTATGATCATAGTTACTTTTTCATAGCTACATTTATTGAAGATCATATTAAGCATCATGTAAAATATCTTAAGAGCTAATTTAATGTATACTTTTAAATTTCTTATATATTAACTCATTCGTAACAGATGATGTACTAATACGTCAAGTATATTTGTATGATGTACTAGTACACTAAAGACATAATGAACATCAATAGACACAACAAATATATAACAGAACATAAAGAGAAAGAATACGAAATATACATTTATTACAATTTCATAAGAATATTATAGTTCCTGTATTTAAAGTTTATTGTAACGTTTTCTTATATTTTATAACAAATATACCTTGTACATCTTGTACTGCTTATGATTTGGTTTTTACATATGAAACAGACACTGTTGTGAATAGATTAAAAATGAATTTTTAATACTATTATATATAACAAACACCATTTTGTTTTAGGATAAGTGAAAATTAAATTTGAATTAAATACTTAAAATGATGCAAAAAATATTAAGCAATCAGTCTCTTTTTTTTGTGTTTTATTTTCAAATTATTTTTTTAAATATTCATAGAAAACATTTATCTTTTCCTTATATAATTTATACATACTTTATTTGATTTTTTACAATTTTTAAATTTCCAATTTTCAAAATTGGTATAGAAATAATAGTTATACACTAAAGAAACATTAACGAGATCCTGATTTTTCACGTAATTGATGCCAAAACATTAATACTGGTTCACGTTTTTGCCATATATTGGCACTTCCCCATAATTGCCAAAAACTATAATAAATAAGATATGAATATGTAAATTTGTTATAATTTCAATATAAATATACTTACATTCCAAATAATGCTCCACCCAAATGTGCTGCATGATCAAAACGCTGCCATCGCAAAAGACATCCCATTACGTCAACTCCCAATATTACCTTAATGGCCTAATAATAAATGTTTTTATTATAATTTAATTCATAAAGTAAAGTTTATTAAATGCAGTCAGATTAATAACTTACCGTACTTGCTTTAAATTTGAGCATAGGAAAAAAAATAATAGAAAGATAGATATCTGGAGATGCAATGCAACTATATCCAATAATGCCCATAACTGCTCCTGACTGAATTACATATTACTCAATATTAGTATTATTAATGTGACCTTTATAATTTAAAAAAATATAAATCTGATTAATACTCACAGCTCCTAATGAAGGATTTTGGAAACCCATTGCAAGTTTGTACAAATGACTAGTAAAACCAGATAACACTCCACTAACTAAATAAAGTAGCACAAATTGTTCTTTGCCCAATGTTTTTACAGCATAAGTAGAGAAGTTGTGTAATACATACATGTTGGCCATTAAATGAAGAAGAGAATAGTGAGAAAATGTAGACAATAGTAGAGGCCAACATAAAGCACCTTAATCAAAATTAAAAAATTCAATGTTTCAATAATTAGACTGTAAAAACATGAGATATATGACTTACTAGATGCAGGACTGCTACAAAAATATTGATTCATTGTTGTTCGAAATGCAGGTATATGCCATGATAAAAATACCAGGATATTTAAGAAACATATAGGAACAAATATCTTTTCTCCTTCTGATAAACTATCCCACCAATCTTGCATTGCACCTCTCCATCCTGTTCGCTGAATACAATTGAGTTTTTAATAATGTTTAATGAACATTATTTTTTACATTATGTTCTTTATATGTCCTTCATTATACGAACATGTATTCCCCATTGCTTATAACTTCTGATCATCCTGTGTGTTCGTTCTCTGATACCCTCATATTCCCAAATGACAGCACCAATAAATGTTGCTCCACTAAACTGGGTTGATGAAAACAGTGAAACTTACAATGTAACAAAAATGATTTTGCTCAGATTAATTTGATACGAGTAAACTCTCAGGTAAAAATTTACTTTAGGGAAGCCATCTCTGATTTACACTTTAGCCATTATTTTCACTTTGACATTTCGATTTTCTTACTATTATTGCACATAATGAAAAGTGTTTCATAGGAGACATAAATGGTATCAAGTTGGGCATATTCTGATGTCATTAATGTTTTCGTAAGTGATCGCATCAAGGACATATGAAAGCAAATTTTGTTTTTTTAAATGAAATAAAGTATTTTTTTATACATCTAAAAATGCCTTCAGACATTCTTTATAAAAAATTCTTAATAATTCTTTATAATTCTTAATTCGATTCTTTATAAAAAAATACTGATCTATGTATGTCGAAAAACTAATAGTTTAAATAATTCTAAAATTCGTAGCGATTATTATTTATTTACAAATATGGTTCAACATAACAACCATTTGAATCATAGTATTTTTAAAATCAATAAAATGATCTGCATTATTTAATGTATCCACTGATATTTTATCATGTTTGTCTATAGTACGTTACTTTACTTTTACTTTACTTTTCAGTCACTGTAGTAAAAAATTTCGTGTAAATTTTATTCTTTAAATAATCTCATAAGAAAAAGCCAAGTGGAATTAAATCAGGTGACCATGCTGGAAACTCAATGGAACCGTCACTCTCATTTCAACAATTCAAATAATGTGTAGGGTGTCTTTCACTATAAATTATTAGTCTCTTTTGGTTTTTGAGATATTTGGAAAAAACTAACAAGCAATCTCGCACACATTAGATGTTTCTCTATTTTAAACTATACTGATCCAAATCTTATTCCATAAAATGAAAGTACTGATTATTGTGCATTCAATATTTGATCACTTAAAAGAAATTAATTTCTGGTTCAGCTATTATGTGCAATAAATTGACAGTAATAACATTATGTTTACAAGAACAATAGAGAAATGGTAAAAAATATTGCTGATACATATGCTACCACAAGATGCACAAATACGTACAAGATTCATTGCAGTACCAGCAACGGTCTTTAGAAAATATCTCAAGCACTAAGAGTCCATATTATTATATATACAAAAAAAAGCAGGTACCCTAACATAAATTTTTACCAAATGATAAATACTCTATTTTTTTAATACATATATTAATACAATTATATTACTTATTTTATGCTTACCATAATTGTAAAGGTGAATGGTTTCAATATTTTAAAACCATTTTTACTTTCAGGTCTACGAAAATTTTTTGTTATAGAAGATTTCGATAATCTTTTTTTGACTGCTAGTTTACTAAAGTTCCTAATTTGTGCATATTCTTGAGCCACATATGTTTTAAATTTAAGCTGTACAATTGTAAAAATACTGCAAAAGATATAAAATGATAAAATTATAAGTTTATGGTTTAATACTGATTTAATATTATATGATCAACTATCAAATAACTCACCATTTATTCATGTTATTATTTAGATGTAAAAATGATCTAAGAGCCATAATAAAAATAATTTAAGAACCACAGAAAAATGTAATCAATTGCAATCTTAGATCATAATAAATACATAAAGTTGTATGTATCTTATCTGAAAAATATAGTCAAATACAATATTTTACAGGAAAATTCTTAATGGTTATAACTATTAATTTATTTATAACAAATTATTATAAATTTTAAGATGCAATTTTTAATCCTTTCATGAAATTTATTAGATTAAATTTACTCTACCTTTTTGAAAAGAACAATTCGATAATATTCTATATATACAGATATTTTTTAAGTCTGTACTTAGTTCTGTACACCTTCTGCATGTCATGAATACATAATTGTCAGTTAATAAAATATAACCGAAGTAGGCTTATAATTTGTACGAAATGCAAAATTGAAGCAAATGAAATATAATAAAAGAACTACATGATTATACTTACAAAATAAATGTAATTGTTTTATAATCAAATTTATTTGTTTCACAAAAGAATACAATATTTATATGACGAAAATCCGTTCTTTCTATGCATGTTCACATTTTCGATTGTATCTATTCTATAATCTATGGCAATACGCCTGCATTCTTGTGACACCGCAAATATATATCCAGTGGACAAAAAGTTTCGCAACTTCTAATTTTTACGAATTATAGTGTGTCCAATTCGAAAGGCAAAATTTTGTTTACTGTTTGTTCTATATTTAAATACTTTATAAATGTATTACAAAATTTCGGTATATTTTTTTTCTATCTTTTATATTTCTTACTTTATCATTGTTATGTGTTTATTTTTCTTCACAGTGTATATGATCACGAAGTCAGAAACTTTATGAGCAGAAACTTGCTTAGGTTAGTGAGATAAGCGGCTTCTACTGCGCCATCTGTGTTATTATTGTTAAAACTAAAGAAACATGTAACTAATCGTATAAGAGGCGAATAAGAGCAGCGGCTCTAAGAAACATGTAACTAATCGTATAAGAGGTGAATAAGAGCAGCGGCTCTTCCACGCCAGCTTCTGTAATTTGAAGTAAATAAATAACTAACTAACTTCTTAAGTGTTTATTTCATCTTGTAAAATTTCTATATAAAATTTGTATTACATTGGTATGCTGTATGTTTATAGTTCATAATGTTTGTATTTTTGTATTCTAGATGTGATATTTGGTATTTGTTTTTAATTGATATAGTAGTGTTGCATTACGAGTGCAAGAGATAGAAAGGTATGCTGGAAGATTAGAAGAAAGTCGGAGAGGAAGGAATAGCAAATTCAATTATGATAACACAAAAAATGAACGATGTATTTAATTTATTCATAAAACAATAATTATTTGTAATTCAAAATATTCTATTGCATAGTATATACAGTATATAGTGACAGTCTTAAATAAATTTTATATTATCATGTAAGAGATTTTTAAATTTATGATAATTTCAGTATAAATAATTATTACATTTATTTTGTTATACAATTTCAACTGTAATTCTTTCTACATAAATTACAAAATTTCTATAAGCCTTACATTTTTAACATAGTATATAAAATTATCTACAGATCTATTAATTACTCTGAACTTAATTATTAACTTCCCTATTTGTTGGTTTAATTTTACCAAATAAGGAGCTGTACAACTCATCTTTCGCATGATCTGTCCATGTATCATTTACTGTAATAGGAGCCATAAAATTTACCAATTTATTATGTACATTATATCTTATTCTTCTACCTTTGGTAGCTCTGGTATCTATTTTTCTTTTTATTTTACTTCGCATATTTTGTAATTGAATCCATTGTTTACTAAGTTGTATGGGATCAGTAATATCACTTGATTTATATTCAATTAAATCTCTTAATAATTGGTGGTAAAAATCATCGTCATCATAAATTTCAGAGTCATGTTCTTGAATTCTTCTACCATCATTATCATCTTCTGCTTCTATCTTGCCAATAATTTTATATTCTGAACGCTTTAGTCGACTTTTCTTACGTGCTTTTTCTTTATCACTTAAAGCAAATTCAATTTGTTTTAAGGTAGATTCATTCATATTTTTTTCTAATTTACCAGTAGCTATTTTTGTTTTTTCATTCCACTTTTGTATAACTGAATTCCTATAATCTGAGTATGATTTATGATTTTCGTTTAATATTTTTTCATAATCATTAAGTTTCATTTTCTTCCTAAATAAGTATTCATTACAATCTGCAACATTTTCAGTTGAAACTAATGTATTTTTAGCTTCATTCTCATCTTCAGTGTCTGAAGGAATTTCTTCATCTAATGAATCATTCATGTCCATTTGTTCTTCATCTATATTTTCTTCAGTTTTTCTTTTATTGTTTTGTGTAAGCAGATTCTTTGTTTCAGGATACTGTTTTAAAAGAAAATTTTGCAATTGTAACATATTGTTTAATAACGTCTTCAATTTACTTTTAGCTTCATCAGCTTTTTTTGTATATTCTGCATTTGTTTTAAAATTTTTATAAACATCATATTGAGGCATTTGATTGCTTGTAGTTAAGCACTTTTGTAATTTTATTCTTATTTCTAATAAACTTTCCCAGAGTTTTAATTGACTTCTGACACAATTGCCTTTATCAATATCAGCTTTCACATTTGTATGTGTCATTGTACGAAAATCTTTCTCTTCTTGTGTTGAAATATCATCACTACTATTTTTATCTTTAAAAGTAACTTTATGTTTATTTCCAAAATGCTGCTCAAAATCACTTTCCCTATCATTGCTTAATTCATTTAGATTATCGCTTTCATTACTATTTTCTTCATTTTCATAGTCACTATCATCATAATTTTCAACATTTTCATTACTATGATCATCGTTTTCATCATCAATATCATTATCACTTACATCGTCATCACTTTCCTCCATACTTTCTGACGAGTTATATGAATTAAAATCATCTACATGGTGATATACATCTTTTCTTGAAACTTTTTTACCTTTGTACCTATGATATATATAAAAATATTAGCTAATAACATAATAATAAAATATATGCTAATGAAAGTGGCTGGAAATAAAAATGCAGTTATAAGTAAATTTTTGTTTACCTTTCGTCTATTTGATCCAAAGGATCTATATTTCGTTTACGTAGTTCTGAAACTTCAAAATTGCTTTTCGAATTATCACTTTCGTCACTTTCGTGTTCAATAACTTTTGCTTTTGTATCTTCAGCTTCATCGTCAGAATCAAAATTTGTTGGTGTTGGAGTAACTAATGAATTAATTTTATCTGCTAAACTTTTTTCCTTTCCTTTCAAAGCCATTATTTTAATAAAACACCTTAGTTTAATGTCTAAACCACGTGCGACTTTACTTGAATACTAAAGTAACCTATTCATGCACAACAACTCTAAACAAAACTCAGAAAGTATTAACAACGAAATGTAAGAGATCGGTCATCCACGTATGTCCAAACTCATGAAATAGTCAGCAGACGAGAATTGTAACAGCGCCACAGCTTTAAGAACATTGCTTCCTGTTACAGAAGATGGCGCTTAGAGCGTCGTAAGAATCATTCGTTAAAAGAAACAATCTTTTAAAAAAACCGCCACAAATGCGGTTAACAGCGTCATCTAACAACAAACTGCTGAACTATGATGAATACGTGAAAAGTACCGACCGAATTCTGTCGGTAATTAATTGATTACACTTCAGCGGTAATACACCATCAGCGAAGTTCTATTGTAATTTTCATGACGACAAATTCGAAGAATTCCCGGGTGCGATTTTTGAAATTCCGCGAACCGATTTTGAATATTTGTATCAAGAGGACATAAGCCATGAGGAGTTATCTTTCGTGTCATTTCTTGGAATTTTCATGACGACAAATTCGAAGAATTCCCAAGCGCGATTTTTGAATTTCCAGCAACCGATTTTGAAAATTTGTATCAGGAGAACATAAGTCATGAGGAGATATCTTTCGTGCCACTTCTTAGAATTTTACTGACATCATTTCCAATAATTCCCGTGGCGCGATTTTTTAAATTCCAGTAACCGATTTTAAAGTTTGTATCGGAAGGACACATGTTATGAAGAGGTATCTTTCATGCTACTTCTTGGAATTTTGGTAACGTCAAATTCCAGGAATTCTAATGTTCTTTTGATACAAATTCTCTCTTTCGAATATGTAAATTTTTATTTTGTTAGGTTTGTTAGGTAACAATAAGTACACAATGATTGTTGATTAATTTTTCTTTATTTTCACCTTTTTTCATACACTGCATAACTTAATTAAACTTATTGTTTAATCATTTAATTACTAACTTGTGGAACGCGCGTGCTATGCACGGGGAATTAATCAGTTAATCTTGACTTCCAGCGCAGTCCTAAACCGTAAAAAATAGACATGCGCAGTAAAGTGTTTACAAAGAGGCTTAACACAGAAAAATCAAATCGACTACTCTTAATTGTGACGTAATTAGTTTTTAAATTGGACCAATTTTTATTGTTAGAAAATTTGTTGCGCGGGATCCGCTATTATCTTATATAAACGTTGACCCTTGCGCAGTTCTAAATTGTAAGAAATAGACATGCACAGTAAATTTTTATAAAGAAAGTAATCAAGGAAAAAGTAGTCGAAGTACCCATGATGGCGTAATTAGTTTTTTGTATCCCTTAGAAAGTGTCCCTTAATAAGGAGTTTAGCGTACTATCATTGTAAGAGTACACATATAATATTTTTCTACCTTATTTTCGAGCATGTGTAGCATCCCTGGAAGAATTTTTTGCTTTCTTCACCATGATAGATTTGTGTTCTATTCATTTACCCACCGTAAGAATAGTTTTGTTACCGACAGTATTAGATAATTACCGACAGTATATTATATATCAATTATCCTATGTATTAAGTTCGACAGGCGGTAATCAAGTATATATACATATTTTTAATTTGCAATAATTATTTTATGTTTTCGATTTAAAATGAGTAATATGTTTCACAGAATCAATCAAATGTTAAGTTAATCATTTAAAGCCAGATTTATGTACAATTTTTAGCCGACTTCAAAAAAGGAGGAAGTTACTCAATTCGATCAGATTTTTTTCTTTTTTTTTTCTTCTATGTATGTTCGCCGATTACGCCTAGCTGGGTGGACCGATCGAAACGGAACCTTTTGCATCTGGTAGGTTCTGACTCCTCATTGGTACCATTATAAAAAAATTTTTCATTTTTTAATTGCAAAGTATTGTTATTGCAAAACAACAGGCAACTTTTGAAATAAACTTTTCTCGATTTTAGTGAGCTTTTAATATCTTATCACGGACATGATTCTGAACAATTTTGTTCATATACAAATTTCGCGGAAAGCTTTTGTTTTCGAGATATTAGCGAAAAATTGTTATTAACTTTTGAAATCAACTTCGAATGATTTTAATGTCCTTCGAATATGTTATTAGGTGCGTGGTTCTGGACAACTTTTTCCTCTTACATAATTGACGGAAAGCTTTTCTTTTCCAGATATTAGCGACAATTGTTGTTAACTTTTGAAACCAACTTCGAACGATTTTAATGTCCTTCTAATACGTTATTAGTGGCATGATTCTGAACAAGTTTTTCCTTATGCATAATTGACGGAAAGCTTCAGTTTTCAAGATATTAGCGAAAAAAGAAATTGGAAAACGAATATCCATGTTGTCTTTTACTTAATTATGCTCATGGCATTTACGCAGACAAAAAAAAGCCCGGAAGAACTGTCTCACAGTATCCTATA